AACACAACCTCCGTAGAGGAGTGGGACTAAAATTTTCACACTCCCTTGATGTCATAGCTAGTCCTTACAAGGCCATCCATAGCTAGTTTTGGTAGAATATCTTTGATTCAATCTTCATTGTCGGGCATACCAAACTTCATGATGTCCTATTATGGGCTGCATGTAGGGGTCGGAAAAAGAATGGACTTCTTTACAACCATATTTTTATGGCAGGAAGAGCAAATAAAAAATGAACACCACCTGGTGAAATTGTCCAAAGTATGCAGACCAAAAGACCGGGGGGGGGGGGATTGGGAGTTCAGAACCTAACACTGATGAGTCAAGATTTGTTGTGTAAATGGTGATAGGAAACTATTTTGAGTGAAGGCCTTTGGGAAACTATTTTGAAAAGAAATACTCAATAATAAAGGTATCACTAGGGTCAACACGAACAGAAAGATTCCCAATTATGGAAAGGGTTGTTGAAATACAAAGAACATTTCTTTTCTTTGTGCAAGTTACTGTGGGTGGTAGAAATGTTAGATTTAGGAAGATTGATGGTTGGGGGACAAACCTTCGAAGCATAATTATCCTAGATTATATAATGTATGTTTTGATAAAAAATATCTAGTTGACAGTATTAGGTTCAGGAGAACCTCCTGGGGTGACTCCTTGGAGCTCTAGACAAATATTAAAGAAGCTTGTGATGAGATACAACTTAGTGATCATGAAGACACCATTGGATGGATCTTAACCAAGAACGAAATTTACACATTTAAATATTATTACAGAGACTTGATTGCTGATAGGAGTGAATAACCACATAAATTTATATATGTGGAAAACGAAAATACCTCTAAGTATTAAAGTGTTTTCTGTGGTTGACTCTTAAGAACAACATCCTGACCAAAGATAATCCGGTCAAAAGGAGTTGGGTGGGGGACAAAGCTTGTCCTTTTTCTGAAAAACATGAGTCTATCAATTATCCTTTTTGCAATTTTGTATTGTCATGATGCTCTAGAATGTTATAAAATGCTCTTTTAATTTTTCCAATGTTCTTGACAATGTCCATGATTTATTCAATTTGTGGATTAAAGAAGTTCATAGAAATGAAAAACCTTTAATGATGGTGGGAATTTCAGATATTCTTTGGACCATATGGAGATTGGGGAACAATGATGTTTCCGAAAACATGAGGATTATTGACCCTTCTATCCCAGTTAACATGATTGACATGTCGCTTAATGATTGGGTTGCTTTGTAGAAACAACAGGAAAAATCAAGAAATACTATGGTGCAGAACAAGAATGTTCGAAATGATAGTAAATAAGATCTTCAAGGCAATAAATGGTTGGTGACTGGTTGTGGCTAGTATCACGGTGGGCCGATGACTAAAGTTGGCGATGGTTCTCACTGCAGGCACTAGGGATGTGATCTTCCTTGTGGTCTCCATAATATCTCAAAGCATGTGTAGTAGCTTAACTTGAACCTGTTGCTGGCATCTTCTCATTTATCTGGGTGTCTGTTGTGCTTTATTGTTTGTTAGAGTGGTACTGCCCCTGGTCGTTCATTTGTGAGCTGTTACACTCGAGGACCGATGTGCGGTTAGCAGAACATGTAACAAGTTTGTGCATCATCCTCCCTTGGTAGCTTTTGAAGCTATCTTTGGGTGGTGTTAGTAGTTTGTAATAAATATGGTGGTTTCAAGTAAATAAAATCAGAGTAGTTGCTCTCTTTTTCACAGACAAAATTCATCTTGCTATGCATAAATGAGCCTTATGGACCTATGTGATTTATTGAGAATTAGTGAATGGGATTCACCCAGTAATTTCAACACATATAACACAATTGGGCCATCAAACATTTGATAGACGAGGTCTTACAGTAATTATTTATTGGGGAAAAGAGGCCTTGGGTTCAGTTCCTTCTCTTTGTAGTTTTTCCTTTTATTTTGTTCTCAATACACCATGGAGTATAGTTTTTGTAATGTATACTGATTTTTGTGTCTTCCCTTTTACTTGCATAACTGCAATTACATTACAATTAGATGCTTAACTAAAAAGAAAATTTTCTTTCACAAGGATCACATATCATGGTGTTTTGACACGTTATTGGTTGATTTTTGTAATTATAAAAATTATATTCTGTTATGATTTACCAGAATACCATTTCGAAAATTCTTGGGGCGGTGTTGTGCTCACCAGCTCCGAGAGTGAGACACAATGACAGTAGAGAGAGGAGAGAACATCGACGTCGTAAAATAATCAATGTGAACCTCGAGCTCTTCATTAATGAAAGACCAACAATGGTGTAGTATGATTTTCACGGTGGGCGGAAACATTGTATTCAGGGTCTAAGAAAAGACACATTAGTTGTCTGCCAAAGTGTCCCAAAGCAAGAAGTAGGCATCTTCATATTAGATAATTTGCCTCGCAGAACATTCAGACTACTGCACGGGTCTCAAACAAATGAATTGTCCAGATAGACCAGGAACCCAAATATATTTGTTGAAAATCTAGATTGGCCCAGTATGGCCAACATTCTACTGACTCCTCCCACGCCCATCTACACAATCTGCACTTTGCATTGCTCTAGGCCTCACTAACTCAGTCGACCACCTTTGTTGCATTGATCTTCTTTTGGACTATCAATCTAGCGCGGGGTAAGAGCTTCATATATAGCCACATACTCCGTACAATGTAGTAGTTAATACAAGGCTAGGAGGTTGTTGTACCGGTCAAACATTAAAAAAATCACATGATTTGGTGGGATATGTTAGAACATGCACTCATCTACTCAAATCAAATAGAATGCATCTGTTGTAACCTCATTCTCCTTCGATGGGAGTGGCAACTACACCAACTAACCTGAGCATAGAGCAAACAGTCATAAACCATGTGTACACGATACACACAACGATAAACACATATGGTCGGATGTGATCTAGACATTCACCCTAAGCTTGTGACATCAATGTATGCAATGACCGACTAGTTACAATGGAAACCAATATAAACCACATGTAGAATCTCTATGGCTATGTGCTAACTGGTTGTTTAGTTGGAACAAAAATCAGGGGGGTCAAGTTAACGTGAGCAATATTTTTTCCCAGTACATCCTCTTTTGGGATTGGGTTTCACTAGATGTCCAATAGGTTCAAAACTATTGATGATCCTAGACATATGGTGTTCACCATGGAGGTAACTCACAATGATAATTTTGCACTTCTCAGTTGGTCTGTCGTACATGATAAGAGACATAGCAAAAGATTGTTGTATATAATCACTGAATCTTGGTAGGGATTTCCAAACTGTATGAAGTACCGAAGCATGAGAGAATTGAAGCAAGATGGTTTACATTGCCAAGAAACATAAATGTCATGTCGTACATTTCAAAGGTCAGATCTTACGAACAATCTTGTGAGGCATGTGTTGCTATGGCACATCGGCCAAGGATCGTCCCCATGATGACCTCAACCTGGATCCGCCAAACCCCGTCGATGAAGTCGGAGAAGAATGCCAGCTATGTCACCAAAGAGCTACCATTTATGATCTAGGGCCTTCGTATAGTCTTTGTCACCGGCACCGCTGCAAATACAACAATAGCAAGCGACAAGAGAAATAATTTTGACTACCTTGAACGCCGACGAGCAAGTGAGGCCATCGACTTCTCAATGCAAATCAGTGGTACATATGCGTGTGTCTTATTCATAGTTAGAGCAAATGCTAATTATATTATCAAGAAAATTTTGATTTGCTAGTTGATGGCACATGTGACCTTTTTGAGAGGTTTATGGACTTTTGTCCCGGCAGATTAAAGTGTTCATCACAATTATCTAGAAAAAAACTAGCATTATTTGTTGTGGCACAATGCCATATGTCAGTTTGAGGACTATTTGGCTTGATGAGAGCTTAGATCTCAGCCCATATAGAAGCACGGGCCAATGTTCATTCATGCTCACAAACTATCACATGGCTGAAGTAATATACCACTGACCCGCTGGTTACATCTATACCACTATGCAATGTACCAATAACTTCAAATATTAGTACTTGATTTACTTTCAGTGTTAGAGTGGTCCATGGCTAACATAGCTCACCAAGTTCTTGCTGAGGTTATGCGCTTATCTTGTGCCTCCCCTTGCTCAGGCGTGTTCTTGCTGCCGCTTTCTCCTACCTCTATCGCTGCTGGCTGGCATGCTTTGGGGACCACATATATGTTACTGGTTTCTTCTCCAAGAATTAGCTTGGCCCCCACGTTGCCGTGTTTGGGTTGGGTTGGCGGCAACATTGCAGCCCACTGAGGCGAAAGTGGAGATGAAGGTCGGGCAGATTACGTAATGTAGGTGAAGGATCACAAAATTAGAAGACATGACTTTTGAAGGTGAGTTATGCAAAAATTGCCACATGGAAGCATGCATAAGGTTTTAAATTTTGTAAACAAAAAAATTATGACCTCACTGAAATGTGCAAATTTTCGGAAATTCTTTTGGATCTGGATTATCAAAATTCACTTAATTTTAACGAATTTTGATTAAATTTAAGTTTGTTTTAAAATGAGTTTGAATCTGGCTCAAAATTTTGGAATTATGGATACTTTGGTACCCACCCAAATTACTGAAATTTCATTGAAATTTTGAACCCATATACAAGTCAAAAAATTGATGTTGGCCAGATAGGTCCGTCGATGACATGCTTAAAAAACTTGACTCAGATGTTCATTATGGTAGTACTAGGACTAACCTGGCACCCTGGAATAGCTTCAGGACTTGCATTCCTCAATTCATATTCGAGTTATTCCAACCATGTATGTTGTTGCTAACTAAAGAAGCTTACAAAACCACTGCAGCAACTTCCCTTAAAAAAACACTGCAACAACCGAAGAAACTTAAACGATCAACCTTACAGCACCGTGCTTGCATATCCCAGCTAATCAATCGACGCGTCTCCAACAGTTAATTAATCCTAATACATTTATTCAACTCCTACAAGTACATCCATTGTTCCCGATGGCTGGATGGATCAGTAGCACTTGTTGGGGTCGCTGGGGCGGAACATGAAGTTGCCGACGGAGTAGAGCGCCTGCAGGCCGTCGCCCTGCTTGACGAAGGACTCGAACTTGAGCGGCAGCCCCTTGCCGGCGGCCGGTTGGTCGGCGAGGCTGCACACCGACGACGACGAGCTCTCCACGTACACCTTGCACTCTTTGCTGGTGAAGGACGCCATCTGCGACGACTGGATGATGAAGTAGCCGCCCTGGCCCGTCACCCCTGCCACCCTCTTCAGCCGCCGCGGGCCGTGCCGGCACTGCAGGTACACCACCGCGCCTGCACAAGCACAAACACACACGGCGCAATGTATCGATTGATGTAAGGACGAAGGAGCACATGCATGCATGCGAATATGCGATGCGTACGTACGTGGTTGAAGAACGCAAAGGTTGGGATCAGAGTTAACCTTGGAGCGGGGAGGCGTCCATGTCGGCGTTGTAGCCACTGTACCTGCAGGTCCTACACCAGACCATGCCCTGCACGCCGATGCTGAAGTTCAGCAGCGACTGAGGCGGGGGCTGGCCCACGGCGGAAGCGCCGGTGGCAAGCAGAGAGAGGAGGACGGCGGAGAGGGAGAACACAATAATGCACTTGGCTAGCACAGCCATGGTACAAGGCTACTAGGCAGACAGAACAGAAGCAGCTATTGCTAGGACAAGATCGACTAGCTAGGAATGATACGTTGCCAAGACAAGAAGCTAGTAGTGGTTGCAAATTTATAGTACATACTTGTGTGACAGTGTGAGGTAGTACTAGCTGAGCAATTGCATGATACCAGTACTGTACATCAAAGTACTCTATTTGCAAGCTAATCACCGTATTATCTTTTACAAAAGTATCAACAATCCCTACAAGTCGATCTTCTATCCACCCCGCACTCACCTACTTCTAGCTAGTTTGACACATCATGATACTAGTGCTTTTTTTTTTTTGCGGGGTAATATTAGTACTTGATTAAAATGGTTCGCGTGCTTGCTGTTTACGCAATGGATTAATTATCGGACATCGTCGTTTGACCAAGTTGTTTATTTTGTGGGCCAAGTTGTGCCGGATATACTACGAGGTTCGTCGCGGAAACATGCATGCATGCTGCAGTCGCATGTGGCTTGGAGCCTTGCTGGAGTGCATCGAAAGCGTGCTACTTTCAAAGCGCTGTCACTTGCTTTCAGGTAACTTAAGCAAGCGTCTGGAGTAATAAGTGATCATCTTAATTCACATACACGTATCGCGTATATTTCGAAGAGACGGCCGGCAGTTTGCAGTGGTGGAGTTCCGCACACCCTAGCACGTAACCCATCTGAGTATCAGTAAAACGAGGGCCGGCGGGCGCGTTGGATGGATGAGAGAAGGCGTATTCTATATATATCTGGTGTACATATACGTGCACCAGAAACCTTGCAGCATTATACGTAGCGTTCAAGGCATATTGGATCGTCCATGTCGGTCCATCGGGATTCTCGGAATGTATGCTTTCATTTTTTCTTTTTTTTGAGGTGAACTAGGGAATTTATTCAACATGCAAGACGTCTGGAATACAAATAATGTTTGGAACTATCCCTAGCTAGCCACAGGTGTCTACCGACTGCAAGAGAAGATGCAGCCTTAGCTAGCATATGAGCTTCGAAATTTGCCTCACGCGGCTCAAAAGTAAACTGCACTTGGTTGAACTCTTGCCTTCGGTGATTGATCTCGTTGAGGACCGGAGCAAAGACTGAAGCTGCACCCTTGTTAATGCTTGTGACGACTTCCAAACAGTCCGAGCCGACCACAACATCTCTCAGATTAAGGTCTTGGGCTAGAACCAATGCTTCATTGCAAGCTTGAGCCTCAAGGCTAGCAGGGTCCGTCAGCCCGTCGAAGATGACGGCTGAAGCTCCAAGAAAACGCCTCACATTATCTCTGCGTGAGAGTCCTCCATCTACATTGATCTTCATGCCATTACCCTCTGGAGCAATCCATCTGTAATCCCGTTGCCGCGGGACTGGTGGCCCTTCTGTTCGAACAGAGCGGACAGCAGCAATTTCTACGTCCTGTAGGTATCTTGCCGATTTTTTATTAATAATATATAATAACAGAAACACTAATGCCCGCATGTGTCGCCCACACGCGTGGATCCGCATCCGTTTGCGGGTGCACGAATCTTGGCATGTTTGTGGTGCCACTTAGGACCGGGCTGATGTGTGGACATTTATCCGGTCACCCACACATGCATTTCACCACATGGAGGGGCCGGCACATTTATCAGTTCACCCACACGCCAGATTTCACTCACGCACAAGGGCTGATGTGTGAGCATTTGCCATCTCGTCAACACGCCCGTCTCCTCTCCCACACCCAAGCTGCCAGTTGTCATGTGTTTTACAGTGTACATGACAACTGCCCTAGTGTGCTTGTAAGCAGATGACAACTCTCTCCTTGTTTTTTACCCAAACATGTCAGTTGCCATGTGTTTTGTACGGCACACGACAACTGCCCTAGTGTGCTTGTAAGCAGATGGCAACTCTCTCTTTTACCCGAACATGTTATTTTGACTTGTAGCGCTACACGGCAACTGCCTAGTGTTAGTAGGTGGCAACTCCTAAAGTTTTCAAATCATGGCAACTGTAGTAAATAGACCATACATGGCAACTGCCTAGTGTTAGTAGGTGGCAACCCCTAAAGTTTTGAAATCATGGCAACTAAATCAGACCATACATGGCAACAACTGCAGTTGTCCAAAAATGGCATCTGGAACTTGACCTGAGATGGCAACTGTAGTTGAGCAACCATGGCAATTGTTGTTGTCCGACATGGCAACTGTAGTTCAGTGACATGGCAACTACAGTTAGACGAACATGGAAGAGGGTCCGGATCATGGCAACTGCGGGTGCATGGTGACTCTCACGCGGGGCGTGCGGCACCATGAGATAGGAGGCCTGACGTACGGGCGTGTGGGCGTTATCTATTTTGCCCACATGTAGGCATGTGAGAGGGGCCGCGAGGAAAAAAGGCGTGTGGGCACCACTTGTTTTGCCCACACGTAGGCATATGGGATAATCCTCTTAAATACCACATAAAATGTGTGGGTAGACCCCTTAACGCCCACACGTGTGGGCGTTATTGGCGAGAAAAAAAGATGCCTGTGCGCACTAGTTGTTTGGCCACACGTAGGCATGTGGCTGGTCCTCTTAGACACCAGACAAAATGTGGGGCCAAATCCCTTAACGCCCACATGTGTGGGCGTTATCGGCGTCCTATCGAAAACACTAACGCCCACACGTGTGGGCGTTAGCCAACTCGCCCTCACGCGTCGATCGTCGTCGATTCCCTTTTGCACGAATCTTGGCACGAAGCTGTTGATTTTGTGTGCCACGTAGGACAAGTCGCATGTGTGGCATGTAAGAGATTCGCCCGCACGCCATTTTTCCTTCGAGGTCAGCGGTTGCGAGTCGGGACGTGCGGTGGAACTGCCGTAGCGCCCGCACGCCATGCCCGTCTTCGGTTATCATCTCCCACGTCTTGCCACTTCCCTCTCCCCTCGTGGTTCAGTTTAGTCCCCTCCCCATTCATTACTCCCCAACCTACCACTTTCACACCTGTTGCATTCGATTGCGAGGAGAAACCGAGAGGAGAAGGAGACGATGGTGACGGAAGAGTCGACCGCATTCGCGACCGTTGGTGGGGCTCACCGGACTGGAGCGCCGTCGCCGGAGAGCCGCAGTTTGAAGGTAAAGCTCCCTCCCGTGCTCACATTTCCTGCCTGCGATTTTGTGCCCCCTCCCGTTATGCTCAATTTCCGCTTGAGTTTCCTCGAGATTCCGACCGATTCGCGATGCTCCAGCTTCCCCGTCGGCGGTGGAGTCGCGTGCTTGCCATCTAGGGCGGCATTGCGCAGTTTCGTCGCTGCCGCGGCGACAGTCATGCCGGTGTGGGCCAAATCCGTCCACGTCCCCGTCCGCAGCCAAATCCGTTGTTTGCCTTGCGATTGAGTGGGCGATTTTTCCAGATGTTAGTTATGATTTGCGTCGAAATGCTATGGCCATCAGTGTAGGCAGTATTTTTGTTTGTAAAATTTCAAGGTATGATAGTTGCTAATGAACCCTAGATCTAGGTAGTTGCAGTTCAAAGTGTAGGATAATGGCAGCCATGGCATTTTCAAATCACTGATGGCAACTGATTTCCTGATCAACCATGTCAGTTGCTACGAATATGCTTTTAATGTGGCAACTATTTTTGTGAACACACTATGCTGTTGCCATGCCACTGTCATCACTGATGGCAACTAATTTCCTAATCAACCGTGTCAGTTGCCACGAATATGCTTTTCATGTGGCAACTATTTTTGTAAACACACTATGTTGTTGCCATGCCACTGTCATCACTGATGGCGACTAATTTCCTCATCAAGTTTGTCAGTTGCCACGAATATGCTTTACATGTGCCAACTAAATTTGTGAACACACTATGCCTATTGCCTTGCCACTATCATCACTGATGGCGACTAATTTCCTGATCAATCTTGTCAGTTTTGCCACTAACATGCTTTCCATGTGGCAACTAATTTTCTGAACACACTATGTCTTTTGCCATGCCATATCCAGGACAATGGCACATTCACTGTACAACAGACTTAGTTTGCGTTTGCCATGCTGGTTTGTGATACCTGGAATTTTTTTTGACTACATTACATAGCAACTCATTTTTATGTGAGGCCAGGGTGTGAGTTGCCACATTACATGTTGTCTAGTGGAAGTTGTCTGCCTTTTTTTCCAAGTGCCTTTTGTTTTGACACGGCAACTTTGAACCTAGTACATTTGCTGCTTGTGAATACATGGCAACTCATTTTTTATGTGATGCCAGGGATGTGAGTTGCCTTATTACATGTTGTGCAGTTTAAGTTGTGCGCCCTTTTTTGGAGTGCCCTGTGTTTAACATGGAAACTTGAACATTTTTAAAGTGTCTTATGTTCTGCACATTTTTTATGAAGCCAATGTGTTTATTGCCACATTTCATGTTGGAGAGTCCTAGGGGGGAGGGGGTGGGTGTTCCTATGATATGCCTCAATTGCCACATTTGAAATGAGCCAATATGGCAATAAGATTCTGCTAGATGGCAACTGCTTCCTTCAGAAGCACACACACGTCCAGTTTCCATGTTTCTGCAATTGCTTTTCCATTTTGATTATTTTTCTGCCTTTTTGTGCATGTTCATCACATGGCAATTACCGCCCTCTTCAAAATGCATAAACCTAAGGCCAACCATTTGAGTTTTCATTTTTTTTGTTCATCGAAGATATCGAGTGAAGTTACTTTATGCATTTCTTTCCGCATCCGTTGGTTGTGTTTTCATTTCACCCTAACGTGTGTTTGGTTCTTATCACAGCACAATGACTCGTGGCGACCATCAAGATGATGATGATGACTTCATGGATGCACCACAACAGAATTACGCGACTGGTCGGGCAAAAGATGGCAAAGAGGTCACTTTCCACCCCCATATGTTTTCAAAGTCACCTATCCAGTAGACACTGTCACATGGGATCTATTCCAGCAGGCTTTCCGTACTGCCCATGTTTCAGCAGGAACAATGGCCATGAAGAAGCGTGAGTTTTGCAACTTACGCCAGGGAG